TGGGAAAGAAAGAAAAAAACAAACCCAACCCCTGGATTTGGTGAAGCTCTGCCTTCCTGGGACCTGTGGTTTAGGCACTAAACTGCTCCCAAACTGCGTGAAATCCTGAGTTTTCCTTGTGGGAACGTTGGGTTGAGCGAGGGGAAGCTCGAGCTGCGCGTCCAGCGTGGTTAAAGTTTAACAGCAGGGCTCTGGGAGATGTTCCACTGGAGGAAAAAGGGGGGCTGGCCAGGAATTTAAAGCACCTGCAGCTCCAGGAGCTCCTTGAACGGGGCAGATGGAGTTGAAAAGAGACATAAAATGTTGGAGGAGAAGGAATAAGGGATGCTGGTCTGTTCCCAGAGCTGTGGGCTGAACAAGGGAAGGGATACTGGGGAGGAATTCTCCCCTGAGGGGCTGGGATGGAATTCCCAGAGAAGCTGTGGCTGCCCCTGGATCCCTGGAAGTGTCCAAAGCCAGGTTGGAGCAATTGGGATGCTGGAAGGTGTCCCTGCCCATGGCAGGGGGTGGAATGGGATGAATTTAAAGCCCCTTCCACCCCAAACCACTCAAGTGATTCCAGGATTTTTTCTCTCCAGGCAAAAGCTGCAGCTCTGAGTTTTCCTCCAGGGAGCAGAGTGTGGCATTCCCTCCCAAACAGGGAATTTTGTGGCTGCTGGAGGTTTGTGGGTTCATTAATAAATGAGATTATTGGTGAGGGCGCCCAAAACTCTGGATTTTGGGCACAGTTTGGGCTCAGTTGCACAGACCCCCCTGTGTCCCATCCCAGCAGCTGTGGGGTTATCCAGTGGTTATCCGTGGGGAGATACCCACCCTCAGAGGGCTCTTTCCATGGAATGTGCCTTGGGAGTGGGTCTTGGTTTAGTGGGAACAGGCATTTGGAGCTCCTGGACTTGTACCAAGTGTGGTGGAGCCCAACATTCCTTTTTTAGGGATTTGTACTTGATGTGGTAAAACCTATACCCATTTTCAATGGATTTGTACCTGGAGTGGTGAGGCCAATCCCAATTTTTATGGATTTGTACCTGGTGTGGTGAAGCCCAATCCCATTTTTCCGGGCCCTATCCCAGCTAAAGTTCTTCACTTCTCCTCGTGGAGCAGCAGAAAAGGATAAAAGACAAACTTTTAAGGCCGTAATGAACGAGAATATCACGTTTTCATCTCCATGAAATTGGGAATTACGAGAACTGTGAGTGATTCCCCCCCCAACACCTCCCAGTTTTTGGTGGGAATTGCGTGCCTGGAGCTGCCCGTGGTGCTTTCCCAGGGAACAAAGGATGCAGTGACAGGAATACAGGAGCAGGAGGAATCAGATGATCTGTGTGGCTGCAAAGAAAACCCCTCGAGGAAATTGTTCTACACCGACTTTTTCCACTTAAAAAAAAAAAAAAAAGCTCTTTTGACCTTGCCTGGAATTGGTATTTTGGGCTTTTCCAACTCCTGTTGGAAAGTTAAGCCTTCTGGGAGCAGGGATGGAGGAAAGCAGGGAAGTGTCATCACTCTGTGGGCAAAAATGAATCTCATTCCCGGTTTTTTTTTTCCTTTGGAAACAGATTTCTCCCATCTTTGCCTTCTTCCACTTCCTTGTGGAGAGGAATTTGGGATACTGAGGGGTGACAGGACGTCCTGGAGGGATTTAAATTCCCTGGTGGATGTGGCACCTGGGGATGGTCAGGGGTGGCCTTGGGGAATGATTGGACTCAAACTTGGATGTCTTTTCCTTCCCCCAATCCCTGATTTTTCCATTTCTGACTTATTCCAAAGGATCCTTTTTTTTTTTTTTTTTTTTTTTTTTGCCTCAACCCCACTTTGGCTTTAGGAATTCCATCTTGCTCCAGAGGAAACCCTGGAGACCAGGATTCCCACTTGGTACCTGGGTGAAAGAGTCCCTGGTGCTGCCTGACTGCAACTCACTTCAAATTCCTTATTAGTCTTTCTTTTCCTTCAAGCTTTTTCCCCTTCCTCCCCCTCTGTGTCCCTGAAAAACTTATTAAGGACTTGGGTTTCTCTTGGAATGGCCCAAGGGAATGTTGTGGACCTGGGGAGGTGGAAACACTGGTTTGGCTAAAAATAGAGGCTGGCAGCGTTCCTTTTGCAAATGAGCCCCGTTTTAAATTTAATTATTTAAGTGATGTTCCTTTTCAAACTTTGCTGTTTGGGTGCTCAGCCCCAGAGCTGTGGAATTACCAGCGGGAGACGCTGGATTTCAGCTGGGAGCTGGAGGGATACGGTGGGAGAGCAGGTCAGGATTCAAACTTTGGGGGGTCAAAAGCAGTTCATGAGAGAGGTTTATTCCTGGTGCCCTCAGCCAGCACTTGGAGGGGACTTTGGGGGTCCCAGAGGGAACCTTGGAGGTCGTGAGGGAACTTCAGAGGGCTGATTTTTCCATAATTCCTCTTGGTTTCATTCCATCTGTTTAGGGATATCGAGGCGATGCCAGGGATTTCTGGGTGTCCTGCAGGGGCATTTCCCCCAAATGTCTCATTCCTTCTGGGGGCCTCATCTTTTCTTTCCCTCTTTCTGAGGGGCTCATCCTTCACCTGGCTCCTTCCCCATCCCATCCCTCTGACTCCCGTTTCTCCCTCTTTATTCCCACTGGACGGGGGTGTTCGTGGCTGTGCCATCCCAGGTGTTTTGGTGGAATTCCCGCTGGAAAACCCTGTGCCCCGGTGTCACCAGGGGCAGTGTTTGTGAACACTGAGATTACAGGAGTTATAGTCCAAGGACACCGGGCTGGAAAATGCTCACTCTGTTGTTTCTCCTCTGGCCCTTGATAATGGCTGGGGCTGACACCAGTTTGAGCAGGGGGCTGACACCAGTTTGAGCAGGGGGCTGACACCAGTTTGAGCAGGGGGCTGACACCAGTTTGACCCTCATGTGCAGTGCTGGGATTGTTTTGCTAGGATTGTTTCTGGATGGTGACTCGGAGCAGTCTTGGAGGAGCTTTGCTGTTCCATGCAATCAGAGGTGCCTCACAGGAAGGAGTTCCTTCCCAATATCCCATCTCTCCCTGCCCTCTGGCAGTGGGAAGCCATTCCCTGTGTCCTGTCCCTCCGTCCCTTGTCCCCAGACCCTCTCCAGCTCTCCTGGAGCCCCTTTAGGCCCTGCAAGGGGCTCTCAGGTCTCCCTGGATCCTTTTCTTCTCCAGGTGAACCCGCCCAGCTCTCCCAGCCTGGCTCCGTAATTGATATTCCTTAGACATAAAATGTTGGAGGAGAAGGAGTAAGAGATGCTGGTCTGTTCCCAGAGCTGTGAGCTGAACAAGGGAAGGTTTAAATTGGATTTTGGGAAGAAGTTCTTCCCTGTGAGGGTGGGGAAGGAATTCCCAGAGAAGCTGTGGCTGCCCCTGGATCCCTGGAAGTGTCCAAAGCCAGATTAGAGCAGTTGGGATACTGGAAAGTGTCCCTGCCCATGGAACTGGATGATTTTAATCTCCCTTCTACCCCAGACCATTCCATGATTCCACAACACAAGTCTGGCTTTGTTGGAATTCCACCCAGTGCTGGTTTTCCTTTCGGCTCTCTGGGCACATCCCTTCCCATCCTGTGCCAGCCCAGGCCTGTGGTGCCAGCAGGATCCAGAGTGTCCCTGTTCCAGCCCCTGCTGTCTCATGCTTTGCTCCTTATCTGACCCCCCCAGAGCTCCAGCCCAGCATAATCGTCCTGGAAATGGTATTTTTTTTTATCTTGGTTGAAGGAGAAGGCGCTGCCCAAGGACTTGCTGCTCCTCACTCTGGCTCACCTCCGGCTTTCCAGCCTGGAATGAGCCTGGTTGTTCCCTGCCAGTGTTAAAATGGCCTGAAAATCCAACATTTTGCACCTGGAATGGCAGCATCTGGGCAACTCAACTGGCTCTGCTTAATAATGAGAGTTAAGGAACAAAAGGGAGCAGTTTATTGGTGAGACATTCCCAAAAATTACCTATGAAGGGTTTCCGTTGGATTTGGTTGGATTGCAGTTCTCAGGAATCCGGGGAGGTGGGGTGTTTTTTTGTGAGTATTTGAGCCCATTAAAATAAATAAAAAAAAAAAGATTAACATTTACAAGCAGGAAATACTGGATGAGAACTGCCAGGTTTGGGGTTCACCTTCCCCTCGGAGCTGCCCTCACAGGCTTTGGTGCCTCTCCTTGTGTCCTTAAATGCCCCCCTCATCCCACAGCCCCCTCTGAGCTCCATATCCAGGGATCCCATGAGGAAGAGGATCAAGGATTCCCTGGGACAGCTGGCACTGCCCAGCCAGAGGCATTAAAAATACGTTTAAATCCTGGGTGGATTCAGCCTTTTGGCTTTTTTTTCAGGAATTCTGCTCTTTAGTGCCCACCCTGTCATTCCTCTGTGTCCCTCATGCCGGATCTCATGGCACACGGGCTGTCCTCTGGGATTTTGGGAGCTGCTCCGTTGTGCTGTGTTCCCTCTGGCTCCGAGGGAGTTAACTGGGATCTGCGGGAAGGCTGGCACGGATCAGGCACTGGCACAAACAAGGGGGTTTTGTCACAGCCACTGTCACACAAAAGCAGCCACCGAGGCCCAGGAGTCGCAGGGAATCGGCGTTGGGAGGTGGGAACAAAACTGCAGGGAAAGCCCTTCCCTGGGCTCCTCCGGGAATTGGTGCACAGGGATGGGAAAATGTTACAAACTCAGGACCTTTTCTCTTCAAACAGAGTTTTAGTGTGTTGTGGGCTGTGGTTCCTTGTTGTCCTGCCAGGCTGGTGGAGCTGCTTCCCAGGGATTTGTGTCCAGGAGATGGGGAAGGGGCTGGAGCACCAGGAGCGGCTGAGGGAGCTGGGAGGGCTCAGCCTGGAGAAAAGGAGGCTCGGGGGGGACCTTCTGGTACCTCTCTGTGTTTCTTTTCGTCTGGTGATGATCCTGGCAGTAAAAATCCCCCCCCTTGGTGTGGTTTTGGCCTGGAGTTGCTGCGCTGTGTCGGGAAGGCACTCGGCTGTGCCCTGATGGGAACACAGATCCACCGGCTGATCCCAGCCAGGAGGACTTGGATTTGCATAACAACCTCTCCTCCAAAAATAAAGGAGGCAGTCATTGTTATCCTTCTTTTTCTAACAGCACAAAACCACGCTGTGCTTGTCACACTTGACCCCTGGAAAGCCCTGGCGTGTGCAGGTGGAAGCACCTGGTTCTTAATCCAGTGGCACAAACCCCAGGGAATGTTTCTATCCAACTGCAAAGGCACTTTTTTTTTTTTTTTTTTTTTTTTTTTTAACTAGGACACCTCAGATTTCACTGGGGGAAACCATCTGCCTGGATCAGGGCTCAGGGCAGATCTTTTCCAGTTGTCTGAGCACACAGAATCTGCCGACTGGTTTTATTTCCCTTCCAATGGTTCGGGGACTCGAAGGCACCGTCGTGCCCTTCAGCCCTTCCTGCCACGGGGATCTGGGAATAGAGAGGGTTTCAGGTGATCCCTGGGATGCTGAGCTCTAGTGGAAGGTGCCCAGAGAAGCTGTGGCTGCCTCTGGATCCCTGGAAGTGTCCAAGGTTGTTGGGGCAACCTGGGATAGTGAGAGATGTCCCTGCCCATGGTAGGTGATGGAATGGGATGGGCTTTAAGCTCCCTTCCAACCCAGTCCAGTCTGTGATTCCATGGAAAAGGTGAAAATGGGGAGGCCAGGTGCTACTTTGTCAGGTGTGAGAGGTGGCTGGGAAATCCCTGTGCAGGGAATTCCAGGAGTTCAGTGGAAGAACGGACTCGGAGCTGAGCGCCTTCGTCCCTTTGCCATCAGCAGAGTTAAACATGTTTGTGTGCAAACACACACACACACACAACCTGAGGTGCTGCAGAACTCACCTGCCCCCCCTTCCCTGTTCCTAAATGGAGTGTGTCCCTGTTTTCCAGAGCCTGGCCCAGCTAGAGAACCTGTGCAAGCAGCTGTATGAGACCACGGACACGGCAACGCGGCTGCAGGCGGAGAAAGCCCTGGTGGAGTTCACCAACAGCCCCGACTGCCTGAGCAAGTGCCAGCTGCTCCTCGAGAGAGGCAGTGTATGTACAACCCACCTGCTGCCCCAAAATCCGCCCTGGATGGGGGCACCCAGGAGGGAAATCCCCCCCAGGGCTGGAGCGGGGTGTTGGTATTCCACACCCGCGCTCCCAGATGGCAGTTTGGGAGCGGCCAATGCTCCCCCCCCCCAAAAAAAAAGCTGATTTTGCTGCTGCTGTGGGGTTGGTTTAAAGCCTCGTGGGCCCTGCTGGGTTCTCACAGGCTCCCACCCAAACCTGCTGGGTTTAAGTTGAAATCCCAGCCCCGTGGGAACGAAGCAGCGGCTTCTCCGTGGGGGAGAACGGCGCACGCAGGGAGGTTCCGAGGGGGTAAAGCTGGAATGTTACCTTGGAAAATCTGCCCCTGCCATAGTGCTGTCTTAATAATCCAGCAGTTTAAAACAGAGGGGAAAAAAAAAACAACAAACCATCATGGGTCATGTGCTGTGGAATTAGTGTGGTAGAAAGGGTGGGAACGGTGCCGGCAGTAAATCCCGGAGCTTTCTCCCTGTGAAGTGGCCGCTTGGTTTTGCACTTGGAATCAGCATAAATCACGTTCCAAACGGCTTTGCCGCGTGATCCTTCGGCAGGGTGTGCATCCAGCTCCCCTGCTGTCGGATTGGAACCTTGTCCATGAAGTAGGAAGCGCTTAAACTGTTGGGAAGAGTCAAGTTTTCCGGGAGGAGGGAAAGGAGACGGACGTGAAAGGCTCGGCAAACTTCCCCAAAACTTCACTTCTCGTTACATTGGAAGCCCAGTGGATTCCAAACAAGCTTTTGATTGGAAGCTTTTCCAGTGGGAACGAGGAGCTGCTTTCCTGCATTGATCCCAAGCTTTGTACAGTCCTATAGATATTACAGGCAAAATGCCTGTCGTTCCCTGGCTGTAATTTAGGGAGTGGGATCAGCCAGGGGGTTTAGGTGCCTGAATTCCATCAATTAGATCAGAGCTGGGTGGTCCATAAGAAATACATTTTAACCTGGATTTACTAACCCAGGGGAAGCTCTACGTGCTCCTTGATGTATCTTAGCACACTCCTGGGATAATTCCAGGTGTGGAATTTTAGGGAACTTCATGGATTTTGACTATTTTTGCAGTTCTGCTTCCATTGTGTTTTGCTCTTTAAGCTTTTCCTGCTTCAAGTCTAGTTTGTTTTAATTTAGTGTCTATAAAAACATAGAATAAATACATATAAATAATGATAATAATAACAACAATTCTATGTAGAATATTTAGACCAATTAAAAGAATGCTTTTAACAGAAATATTCACAGAGGAATCAGCCTTAAAATCCCTTAAAAAAAAAAAATCCATTAAAACCCGGTGCTGCTCGATCTGAACCGTGCAATTAAATTCTCTTTTTTTGTGTTTTGGGTTTGTTTTCTCCCTCTCCCCAGTCCTCCTACTCCCAGTTACTGGCAGCCACCTGCCTTACCAAACTGGTGTCACGCACAAACAACCCCCTGCCGCTGGAGCAGCGAATAGATATCCGTAAGTATGGAATCCTTCCCGCCGAATTCCTGGGAATACCTGGGTCTGGTATTGGATAAACCGCTGGAATTGGACAGATTTCCTTTGGAATGGTAAAACTGCCTCTTCTGAGTGTTCAGAACTGAAAGTCCTTTATGAGTCTCTGCAGTAGCGTTTGATGGGTCGAATTTTTTCCCCGCTCTTTCTTTGGGAGTGATGGATGGATCCTTTCCTCCAAGGAGAGAGGATTCCACCTCCTGTAAAGGGTGGTCAAGGGTGGGAAGGGGTGCTGGGATCCCCTTCCCGGGGAATCATCCAAAAAAACGTCTGGCTGTGGCACTTGGAGGAAAGCGGTTTGTGGTTGATGGTTGGTCTGGATGGTCCCAGAGGGCTTTTCCAACCTTAATTTTTAGATTTTTAATCAATTCCACGATTTTTGGCACAAACAGCTGATGGTACCAAGAACGGATGGTACCAACAACTCGGGCCTGAGGGGTGAGAATCCCCCCATTTCCAGCCCCTCCAAAGTTAAATTAAAGGCTCAACCTTTACCTCTAACCCTCCATTTCCTTAAAACCCCCTCCCAGCTCAGCTCCCCGTGCCGACATTCCCTGTGCTGCCCGTGTTTTCCAGGGAATTATGTGCTCAACTACCTGGCCACGAGGCCGAAGCTGGCGACGTTCGTCACGCAGGCGCTGATCCAGCTCTATGCCAGGATCACCAAGCTGGGCTGGTTCGACTGCCAGAAGGACGAGTACGTCTTCAGGAACGTCATCACCGACGTCACCAGGTTCCTCCAGGTCGGATCTTGGCGTCACAACTTCCCGGGATATCGGCGGAAAGCCCGGGGAGTTCTCGCTCGGTTTGCGTTGAATTTCCGGGCCCTCCGGCCGGGGGGGGTTTGCCGGTGGAATTTGGGGCTTCCCAAGGACAAGCAGCTGCGAAGGACACATCACTCCTTAGAATTCAGGGTTTTGGGGGGAGCAGGGATTCATTTCTAGTCCTTACGATTTAAAATTTGGGGGAGCAGGAGTTTTATTTGTAGTTATTATATTTTAAAATTTGGGGGGTTTTTAGTTCTTACAGTTTGAAATTTGGGGATTTTTAGGTCTTAGAATTTGAAATTGTGGGAGCAGGGATTTATTTCTAGTTCTTATATTTTTAAATTTGGGGATTTCTAATTATAATTTCAAATTTGGAGGAGAAGTGATTAATTTCTGGTTCTTAAAATTCTTTTCAGTTATGGCCTAACACAAAAATGCTGATTAAAATATTCAGTTAAGGAGCCTGGTTTTAATACCTCATGTTCCTCAGCTCTTTAGAACCCTTTGCAGTACTTATAATTAAATTTGAAATCGGATTTGAAATTAAATTTGAAATTAAAATATAAATTAAATTTGGCATTGAATTAGAAATTAAATTAGGAATTAGATTCTGGATCGAATTTGGAATCAAATTAGAAATCAGATTTGAGATTGATTTCGAAATTAAATTTGAAATGAAATTCAAAATTAAATTTGAGATTAAATTAGAAATTTAATTTGGCATTAAATTTGAAATTAAATTTGATATTTGAAATTAAATTCAAATTAAATTTTACATTAAATTTTACATTAAATTTTACATTAAATTTTACATTAAACTCGAAATTCAAAATTAAATTTTAGATTAAATTTTACATTAAATTAGAAATTAAATTCAACAGTAAATTCGAAATGTGAGGGTATTTTGTTCCACCGATAAAACTGAAGATAAAATGTTTTTTAGACAAGAACTTTTCCCAGCAGAGAGCCGAGCTTAACAAAGCCCCGAGCTGAGCCTGTGCCTGTGCTTTCCCCCCCCAGGACAGTGTAGAGCACTGCATCATAGGAGTGACAATCCTGTCCCAACTAACGAATGAGATTAATCAAGTAAGTGCTACAGCCTTCCTCAGTGAAGTAAGTGTCCAATTTTCTCATTCATATTGTCGTGTCCCGCCTCCTTTGGGGTTTTTGTTGCCGTGTGGGGGTTTGTTTTTGGGGGGTTCCCTGCTGTGTGTGTCGCTGCCCCCTCAGTGGGGGGACTCTCGGAGCTCCTGTCCCGAGGAATCCTCTTGTCTCACTGGCATCTCCCATCCGCTCCTGCATTCCGGTGGGGGGGTGTTGTTCTGGGATGGAGTGGGAATGGAGCAAGGCTGAGGGATAAAGCCAGACCTACCCAGTGAGGACTAAGCCCTTGTGTTGTCAGTCCCTCCTTGCTGAGCGGGGAGATGAAACGCAGGAGTCAGCAAATGGGGCCGGGTTTTTAAACCATCCCTGATTTCATCCAGGACTGCATCTCCCGGAGTTCCCAGCAGGGAATCCTCAGCTCCTGCTGGTTTCCTGGGGCTCAGTCCCTTACCCAGGTGCTTCCCAGGTTGGCTCCTTGGTTTTAGGAGGCCCTCTGAGGTCGTGCTGCCTCTTGGAATTGGATGTTGGAAGTGGGAATGAGCGGCTTCACCTGCTGCTGTCCCAGATTACATCCTTTTTCCAACAGCAAAACCAGCTCCCCTGAAGGTCCCGAGGCAGCAGGAGGGTCACAATGTCCGTGAAATCTCTGATTTTCCTGAGAAAACCAGGTGTAACCAAGTGTTTTGATTTAATACCTTGCTCAGTAACTGACCTTTAATTTTCCTAGGATATTAATCCAGGCGTTGGAGGAATCCCTGAGTGGGATTTAGAGGGTGATTAAATTGTTCTCAGGACTGGAAACAGAGGAGAAGGTTTTGTCCTTCTCCGGTTCCCTCTGCTGGACTTGCTGGAGTTCAGTCCCTCTTAACTTCCCCAACCTTAAATTCAAATGCTTTAAATCAAATTTAAATGTTTTCTGCATCCATTTCAGAGCCCCAAATCACTTTAATTCCTTCAAGGAGGAAATCGTAACCCACAGATCTCCTCATAAATCTTGATCCAGTCTTGTGACTCTTGCTATTTCCTGGCCCAGACTTTTGTAAAACCCAAATTTCATCTCCACAGAGGGCTGGTCCTTCACTTCCTTACAGCAAGGATGGAAACAAGTCTGGCTATTTAAATATAAATTTATATAAATCCCTATAAATTAGAATGTGTCCATCAGCAAGGATGAAAAGAAGTTTGGTTTTTAAATATATATAATACTGTATAGTAGTGTATTATATAAATATATATATAAAATATAGCATTATAGATAATATTATAATATGTTATTATACAATATAATAGTATAACTTATAATGTACAAAGAACTTCTCAAATGTCACTTTTCAAGCTGCACAGACTTGCCTGGAGGTGCTGAGGGACTGGAGTTCCCTGAGTTTAGCCCAGCTCACTGATTTAAGCCGAGTTCAGGGATTTAAGCCATATTCCCTGATTTAAACCAAGTTCTCTGCTTATGCCAAATTCCCTGATTTAAACTAAATTCACTGATTTAAGCCCAGTTCAGTGATTTAGACCAGATTCCCTGATTTAAGCCCCGTGACCTCGTGGTGAAGGGAAAGAAAATGCTCATTTTCACCAGGCCAGAAAACAAGTGAGATTTTCCTAAAGACCCCAAAATGTGAATATTCTGAGCTGAGGAATAATTCAGTCTGAAAACACTGGATGAGTTTAGGTCCAGTTTTGCTCTGCACAGCACAAAGCCCGAGCTGGCTGTTGCTGGTTAATCTGCTCGGAGTTCTCCTCTGTGCAGGTTCAGGAGGGGGAGTTTTCGTTGCTAGGCCTTTGTCCCCCTGTGTTCCCAGCACCTCCAGGTGGAATTGGAGCCTCTGGAATTCCCAGTTCAAGCTCCCAGAGTCCCCAAGTGCCGCTGCTCCCGATTTGGGAGAGACTGGAGCGGAATTAGGAGTAAACCCAGCCCGGCAGGGAAAGGATTGGAGGTGGAAAAGCCGCTGCCCAGCCAGGAATAGGAGTTTATCCATGGAATTGTCCCATGCTGGCACATTCCCCTGCTTTAGGTGGCCCTGGGGAGGGAAACCTTGCTATCCATCAGTGCTCCCCAGGGATCTGTTGCTCCCATTCCATGAGTTCTGAGCTGCTTTTCCCTCTGCCCAGGCGGATACAACCCACCCACTGACCAAGCACAGGAAAATTGCCTCTTCCTTCCGGGATTCCTCTTTATTTGATATTTTCAACCTGTCCTGCAGTTTACTGAAACAGGTGAGGAGGGGGCTTGGCATCTTTGTACTGGGGGCTGAGTGGAGGGGAAACATGTTTGGGGCTGGAATTCCCTCCTGGAAGGAGCTTTCTTGTCCTGGGTTCTGAACTTGTTTTTCTAGAAAAACTTGGGCTTATTAAGGAAATTTTATGTCTAAAAAAAAAAATCAATAAATAACCTAAGTAAAATTATTAATAAATATAATAAAATATATAATAAATATATTTCTATGTTGTATGTAATATATATAATATCTAGATATTCTGTATCTATATAAAACATACATTGTATACCTATATGAAATCTTTATTGTATATCTATATACAACATATATTGTATATCTAGATATAAAAGATATTGTGTATCTAGATATAAAATATATATTATGTATCTAGATATAAAGTATATATTGTATGTCTAGATATATATATTGTATATCTATAAATTAAATATATAGTATATCTATATATATGATATATAGTGTATCTAAATATTATATATGCACATATATTGTATATATATTAAAATAGGGATGACATAGAAATCCGTATTATTTAAAATCTATATTATATATAAATCTGTGTTATATAAAAATGAAACCAAGTTCACTGATTTGAGCCAAATTCCCTGATTTAATATTCCCTGATGTGGTATAAAAAGACGTGTTATGTAAAATATATGTTATGTAAATACATAATAAAAATAAACACACTTAAAATAAAAATAAAGGAAAGATTTGGTATTTGGACCCATGAGAAATATTGATAAATAAATAGCAGGGTTGGCTTGACCCCCAGAAAAGCAGGTTTTCTTTCTGCTTTTTACCCTCAAAATCCCACCTCGTGCCCCAGAGCTTTGTCCAAACGCTCCTTGTGATGGATTTAACCTGGAATAAGTTGATTTAAAGCTGGAATAAGTTGAGTTGAGTTGAGTGACAATACCAAGGGCAGACCACGGTGCTGTGTTTACACTGCAGTGACATGACCCTGAATTCCATGTCACCTGAGGGGCATCCATGCTTTCCCTGCCTGGAGCAGCTCCTCATTTCCCTGGGAGGCCTGGCTGGAGCAGCAGGATTCCCTCCTGTGAGGCAGCAAACGTGTCCCTGTGTTTAACCTGAGTAGGAACTTCCTTATCTGCCAGATATCAGACCTGGCAGCTGCTCCCTGTGCGGCTCAGAGCAGCGGGAAGGGAAGTGCTGCCTGTTTATCCATCTCCTGGAAAGCCTGGAACGTGCTCATGCCAACCCCTTCCCGTAAAAACACGCCTGGTGCCTGTGCCGTGCCACCTCCTGCTCCAATCCTGCCCCAAAAAACTCACGTGCCACCTGGCTTTGGTTGGGTTTTTTTTTCCTCCCCCCCTCTCCTTTTCCTGCCTGAATCCCGTGTGTTTTCCAGGCTTCTGGGAAGAACCTGAACCTGAACGATGAAAGCCAGCACGGGCTGCTCATGCAGCTCCTCAAGCTCACCCACAACTGTCTGAACTTTGATTTCATTGGCACCTCCACAGACGAGTCCTCGGATGATCTTTGCACTGTGCAGATCCCAACCAGTTGGAGATCAGGTAACTGGGCTGCAGGAATCCGCAGAATCCCAGAAGGACCTGCTCAGTCCTTCTCTGGGCTCCAAAAAAAAAACGTGTGCGTGGAATTCCGGAGGGTAAATCCAGCTTTTCCTTATTGGGGGGGGATCACACAACTCGTTGGGGTGGGGTTATCTTGGCTCCCTCTACCCTTCCAGTCTTACACCTCCCGGTTCAAAGAACAGGAAATTGGTTGGTTGTGGATTTTTTTTTTTTTAAATTTTTAAATATATCAGTAACATAATTTGGCACCTGTTCTCCACATCCTCGCTGTTCTCACCAGGCACTTGCACAGATTGTGTTCTTAAAATACTTCCCTGTCGTTTTCCCTCAGTTCCAAGTGCCAGTGGGTTGGTTCCTTCATTTCTAGGAAAGGCACTTGCATGAAAAAATACAGAATCCTTGGGAAATTTTCTTGGGTTTGGGGCACTTTGTGTGACAGATACATTGGCTCTGGTGATAAAATAAACCCCAGACCTGTGGAAGGCAGTAAATGGAGGTAAAAATGCTCTTTTGTGTTGCAGCATTCTTGGATTCTTCGACCCTTCAGTTGTTTTTTGATCTCTATCATTCCATCCCTCCGTCGTTTTCTCCTCTGGTAAGTCCAGTGTTTGTTTTCCTTCCAGGAAGGGTTTGTAGGATTCCCATGGGGGGGATTCACTGGTGGTTCGGGTGCCACAGTTTGATCTAGCTTGTGCTGAAGTGTCCCAAGCGCTGCTGTTGATGGTTTTTTAGGCTCTTCTCCCAGGGAAAAAGGGACAGGACAAAAGGAAATGGCCTCAGGCTATGCCAGGGGAGGGTCAGGTTGGACATCAGGAGGAATTTCTCCCTGGAAAAGGTGGTCAGGCCTTGGAAGGGGCTGCCCAGGGAGGTGGTGGCATCCCATCCGGGGAGATGCCCAAGGAAGGACTGGCCGTGGCACTCAATGCTGTGGGCTGATGGAGATCAATCACAGGTTGGACTCCATGACCTTGGAGGGCCTTCCCAGCCTCAGTGATTCCCTGATTCTGTGCTGCTGGGATGGAGCTGTTCCTTTGGGTGACTCCCTCCGCTGCAATTCCTTTCTACCCAAAATCACAAACCTGGAGCTGTTGTGTCACACACCAAGGAGCATCAGGCCTGCCCTGAGGAGGAAACCTGCTGCTCCTTTGGTTGTCCTAATCCCTGTTTTCCTGTTTGTGCCCTCTGCCCCTGCAGGTTTTGTCCTGCTTGGTGCAGATCGCCTCCGTTCGCAGATCCCTCTTCAACAACGCCGAGCGGGCAAAGTTCTTGTCTCATCTCGTTGATGGAGTCAAACGGATACTGGAAAACCCCCAGGTGGGTGTTGCAGGTGGAACTGGGGCTCTGCTTCCCCTTCATCGTGTTTCTGCACCAAAAATACCTCCAATATCCATGTCCTGCTTGATCAAAGGTAGAAGAACAACTTGGCAAGGGGGAGAAGGGTGCCATGTCTTGCTGCTCTCTTCCTTTTCGAGGCCAAGGAAGGTTCAGGTTGGATATTAGGAAAAATTCCTTCACTGGGAGAGTACTTTGGCACAGGAACAGGCTGCCCAGGGCAGTGGTGGAGTCACCATCCCTGCAAGTGTCCAAAACACGAGTGGATGTGACCCTTCTTGAGTGGGGGTGGAATCCAAGGGTTGGACTTGGTGATCGTGGAGGTCTCTTCCAGCCCGTGTGGTTCTGTGGCAATCTGAGCCCCCTTGCAGGTGACTGCTGAGCTGTTCCTCAGTTCCTCTCCCCCTTTCCTCCTCTCAGAGCTTGTCAGACCCCAACAACTACCACGAGTTCTGCCGGTTGCTGGCGCGGTTGAAAAGCAATTACCAGCTGGGGGAGCTGGTGAAGGTGGAGAACTACCCCGAGGTCATCCGGCTCATTGCCAACTTCACCGTGACCAGCCTGCAGGTACAGATGCCTTTCCTTCTCCTGTCCCCCCTTGAAACAAAATCACCCCCCTCTGCTCTGTTCTCTGCCCCTTCACTCACGTCGGTTTTGCCCCAAACCCCTCTCAGAGAATCCTGTGGGGTAGCCTTGGTTATCCTGAGAATTCCCACTGAATGGAGCTGGAGCAGCCTGTGGGGGGTAGGCAGAGTTGCCATGCCTCCAGAGGCTTTCCAAATCCTAGCAGAGAGAAAAAAAACCCCAACCTGTTAAATCAGGCTTATTTTTAGAACCGTGTCTCACTTCACTATTCGAACGCAGTCGCAGGGATTGCCAGTAATGGGAATATCAAACCGTATTCCCACTGAGTTTTCCACTGGTGTATCGAGCTTGTAACCACCCCCCTGCACAGGGCAGGGTTCAGAACGTTGTACAGCTCAGATAATACCTTTGTTTGTTCAATTTGGATATCTGGAAGCAGCTATGAGCTGCACAGGGGGTGTGGGGAGCTGAGCACCACGAGCTCGGCAGTGGTTGGGGACTGGGGGCTCAGCTCCACGTCCTGGGAGCTCGGGATTATCTCCCTGAGTGCTGATAATGCCCCTGAATCCAGGTGTGCACCGAAATTCCTTGTTAATTTGGCAGCCAGGCCCTTAAAGCTTTTAGATGCTGCTGTGTCCAGCGGCGGGTTCATTGTCCATGGGGAGTGGAAGGAGCCGAGCTGTGAGGTCCCTTCCAACCCAAACCTACGAGAATAACCTGGGTAAAACAATCCAGATCATAACTCCCTGGGTTTGGTTTTTTTATTTCCTTCCCTTTCCCTCTGGAAGCACTGGGAGTTTGCTCCCAACAGTGTTCACTACCTGCTGAGCCTGTGGCAGCGCCTGGCAGCGTCCGTGCCCTACGTGAAGGCCACCGAGCCCCACATGCTGGAGACCTACACCCCTGAGGTCACCAAAGCCTACATCACATCCCGCCTGGAGTCCGTGCACATCATCCTCAGGTGAGGGCAGAGGGGTGTGGAGCTGCTGCCCTGTGAGGAAAGGCTTGAGGGAATTTGGGGTCGTTCAGCTCCGGGGTGACCGAACTGTGCCCTTCCCTACAGCAAAGATGGAGAGAGATTATTTCCAAGGGCCTGGAGTGCCAGGACAAGGGGGATTGGCTTCCCACAGGCAGAGAGGATCGATTTAGGTTGAATATTAGGAAGTAATTGTTGGCTGTGAGGGTGGGCAGGCCCTCTGGGCACAGGTTGCCCAGAGAAGCTGTGGCTGCCCCATCCCTGGGAGTGTCCAAGGCCAGCTTGGAGCAACCTGGAGTAGTGGAAGGTGTCCCTGCCCGTGGCAGGGGGTGGAACTGGATGATTTTAAGGTCCCTTCCCATCCAAACCATTCCCTGATTCCATGGCTGTCACACCGTGCTCTGGTGTGTTTGTCTCTCCAGTTTTCCTTTACAAACAGCCACAAACACGGAAGTTTTGTGAGTCACCGAAGGATTTCTGAGGGAGGCTTTACCTAAATCACACACTCTGCCTGGTTTTTAGAAGAGATTTAGGGTCTTTTTTTAAGCTGGTGGGGGTTTGTTGAGACCTTGCTTAATCTCAGGTGGCTGATTTGATCTGAGCCGTGTCCGACGGGCTCTGGGTAGGATTTATCTCACCCAGGATCTGCAGTGTTCCCTACCCCCCCTAAATTCCCAGCAGAGCAGGATTGCAAGGTGGGAGTCACTTCATTGTGCATCTCTGCCATAGGATGGCACAAATTACACCTAAAAGCACCTTTTCTTTTTAGTTTGGAGTGCAGGGGCAGCCCACAGGATTCCATTGTAGTGCCTGAGATCCTGTGGGATGAATTCTACCGTGTGTGTGTGTGTGTGTTGGATGAAAACAAAGGGTCCAATATAGGGAAATAATGCCTCTCTTAGGGAAAACTGATGGGCTGATCCCTTTTTTTGTTTGTATCTTTAGAGGTTGTGGCTGCCCCACAAATGTAAAAAAAACCTGGATGAGTGTTAAAAAAAACCCAGGTGAATATTAAAACATCCGGATGAATGTTAAAAGACCGGGATAAACATCAAGGGTGAAAGAAGAGGTTACTCACCCCAGGTGCTGCTGGTCTTCCCACCTCACCCTCTGCTGGTTTGTGGCCACAGGGATGGTCAGATGTTTCTCTGAGTCATTCCCCACCACGAAGGAAGCACGGACACCATCCCTGGGGTTTCTGTGTGCCCGGGAAACACCCTGCACCCAGCACAACCGACCTCCTGTGGTTGAGTGGACAGTTTCCACACTTTCTAACCCGCTTTCTCTCCTCTCAGGGATGGTCTGGAGGATCCCCTGGACGACACTGGGCTGGTGCAGCAGCAGCTGGACCAGCTCTCCACCATCGGGCGCTGCGAGTACGAGAAGACGTGCGCCCTGCTCGTGCAGCTCTTCGACCAGTCGGCCCAGTCCTACCAGGAGCTGCTGCAGAGTGCCACTGCCAGCCCCATGGACGTGGCTGTGCAGGAAGGTGAGCCCAGTTCAACACCCAGAGGCCCCTTTTCTTCCAGAGGGTGTCGTTCCTGGTGGGGGGAGGCATGTCTGCCCCGCGCTCCCGTGGGGTGCAGGATGGTTTGGACACACAGTGTTCCTTCTGCTGTCCTGGAACTGACCCCATGCTTATTTTTAAGGGGAAATATCGTGTATTTCCTGGCCTGTTCTTTCAGAGACAGAGTCATGAGGGTGTTCCCCATCCAGCACTGCCTAGCTCATCCCTCTTTACCTGAGGTGGGATGTGGGTGCTCTCCTTTGACCCTCCTCACTGGCTGGAGTTGTTGCTGTCCTACAGCTGACTCAATTGCTACTTTTTTGGGGGAAATATAACACATTTCCCTGCCTGTTCTTTCAGAGACAAAGTCATGAGGGTGTTCCCCATCCAGCACTGCCATCCCTATTTTACCTGAGGTGGGATGTGGCTGCTTGTTTGACCCTCTTCACTGGCTGGAGAGGGTGCTGTCCTATAACTGACTCCATTCCTATTTTTAGGGGGAAATATAATGTATTTCCTGGCCTGTTCTTTCAGAGACAAGTCACGAGGGTGTTCCCCAACCAGCACTGCCATCCCTGTTTTACCTGAGGTGGGATGTGGATGCTCCTTTGACCCTCCTCCTTGGCTGTGGGGCAGAAACCTGCAGCTGGTTGTTGGGAGTGGGATTTTCATTTGGTGCCAATGCCTGAAGTGGTTTGTGTGCACAGCCCTGGGTGGGCTCAGCGTGGGGGGGTCAGGAGTTGTTTGACACAGCAGCTCCTTTGGGGGCTCAGGGATTATTCCCCTCTCTGACACTGGATCTGCTTCCCCTTCCCTGGAGGAGTTGGGTGTGACAGAACAGGTATGGGAATTGTTCATTTTCCTTCTGAAATGGCACTGTCTGATTTAACACAGCTTTTCTTTATTTTCTTTTGGGGTTTTTTTTTGTGGGGAAAACTCCCATCTGAAGTTGACTTCTCCACATCCCTTGGAAGAATAAATGCTTGCTGGCACATTAAAGTGCCCAGAACCTCGTTTTACAAGGAAGTGACTTTCTGCAGTGGAAAAGCTCTGAATAAGGACAATCTTCCAGGGAGGCCTGGCATTCCTTTTTTCTCTCTTCTGTTAAATCCTGGAATGGTTTGGGGTTGGAAAGGACCTTAAAGCCCATCCAGTCCTACCCCCTGCCATGGGCAGAGACACCTTCCTCTATCCCAGGTTACTCCAACCTGGCCTTGGACACTTGCAGGGATGGGGCAGCCACAAAATAGCGATGAAAGCATTAAGATGGAAAGTTGTGTTGTATAAACACAACCAGAGCCTTTGTCCTTGGCACTGCACCTTTGATCAGAGACCTGGATCAAGGCCAGGGCTGTCAGAGGGGGTTCCTCACCCCGGGGCCAGTAAAGTCATGGATAACCGAGTCATCTGGGGAGAGCCAGCCACCAGAGCAGGAAGATACTCACCGTGTGTGCCCGGATGAGGCGCAGATCTCACGGATCTCGTGCTTCTCTGCCGGTTCTCATGTCCTCTGTTGCTTCCAGGGCGCCTGACGTGGCTCGTCTACATAATCGGGGCGGTCATTGGTGGGAGGGTGTCGTTCGCCAGCACGGACGAGCAGGATGCCATGGATGGAGAGTTGGTCTGTCGGTAGGGATGCACCCCTCGCTGCTGGAGCCCTCACCAAAACTGCCCTGCTGCCCCTGGCACCATGTTCTTCCCCTCCTTTCACCTCCAGACCCACTGGAATCGGCAGCGGGAAGGAGGGGGCAGCGGCGCTGCCTGCGAACGTGTCGGCCAAATTTGGGGGTGGGGTTTGGGTTGTGAGGAGCAAACTGAGAGGGGAAGAGCATGGAAAAGGGGATTGTTGGTTAAATCACAGACTAAATGCATGATTGGTTCCTTGCTGGGTTGGAGGGAGAAGTCTTTTTTTTGTGGTCAATAATCCAGAGTGGCTTTTGCCCATAAATGGATTGTAAATATTGTAGCTCCAAAGTTAAAACTTCTAACACATGCAGGGTTTTTGGGATTGCAAATCCCAGGCCAGTGCAAGCTTTATTTGGTGGGTGTGAGAATAAAACCTTGAGTCCCACTGAATGTTTTCTGGTCCAGATCCTAATGCTGCACTTGGAAAAGGACCTAAAGTGTGAAGGTGTGGAAGCTGAGCTGTTGGTAATCCAACAGGTCTGATCTCTGGCTTTCCATGTGGCTCTTGAGTTTAAAAGGGGAAATTATGAGACCCCCCCATATATTTCAGTTACCTTTAGAGCCATCACAGATGATAAATGTCCATAGAAATCTTTTATATTTGGGTTTCTTTCCTGCTTTTGCCCAAAAGAATATCCTTGGGTTTGCTCCCCAGGTGTTCTTTATCCCCCAAATCCCCTCCTCCAGCTCATGGGGGTGTTTGTGCAGGGATGGAGAAGCCTCACAACAGCTTTACACCACAGAGCAGCGTGCCCTGGGCAGTGCTTTGTCCCCAGTGTTGTGAATTCCCAAACCAACAATTCCCCCGGAAAGCGAAAAGCCTGGAAACGGCACCGCGTTCCCAGAAATCCCTCCTCGCTCCCGGTGCCCATCAGTGAGGTGTGTTTTCCCACCTGTTCCCAGGGTGCTGCAGCTGATGAACCTGACGGATTCCCGCCTGGCACAGGCTGGGAATGAGAAGCTGGAGCTGGCCATGCTGAGCTTCTTCGAGCAGTTCCGGAAGATCTATATCGGAGATCAGGTGCAGAAGTCTTCCAAGGTAATCAGTGCCTTCGGCTGGGGCTCCTTGGGGATCCAGACTCCGGTGATCCCTGCTTTTTTGAAAGGAAAACCAAGGGTTTTAATGATTTTCTTCTCTCTTTAGCTTTACAAGTCCCATTTACTGTGATTTCTAGGTTTGTTTCCAAGTGTTATTTTTGAGCTGTTTTGAAATACCATGTCAGGAAGGAGCCACTGGCTTTGGCTCCTTCTCAAGGAGCTGAGAACTGGAAACCATAATTCACTTTTCCCTGAAAACCTCTGACCACCTCAAACGCCCACAAGAATCCTGAGTTTCATCTCTCTCTTGCTTCCCTGGCTCTGAAGCAGAGATAAATCTCCCTTTTCTCTTCATGCCAAGGCAGCTGTAGGTGTACTGGTGCCTTTGTGCCTCTTTAGAAATGTAAAATTAAAATGCATGAAGGATGGGAACATCTTAACTGCAAACTGGGTTCCCTTCCTTTCTGGTCGTAACCTTCCTTCCCTACCCCAGAGACTTGGGGACTGCTGATGAGAGTTCTGGGTAAATGCACCTCATCTGTGAGGATTCCTTGTTCTCCTGGCAGATTTTTAACCAGAAGTTGTTCCCCTCCCCTCCTGCAGCTGTACCGGCGGCTCTCCGAGGTGCTGGGGCTGAACGACGAGACCATGGTCCTGAGCGTGTTCATCGGGAAAATGTAAGTGCTGCTGCCCGCAGGCACCCCAGAGCCCAGGCTCTGCTGCAAGCTCCGAAACTGCAGCGTGAGGGAGTGTTGGTCAGCCTGAAAAATAAACAAAAAAAAAAAAAAACAAACCTAGGAACATCTGGCTCCTCGAGGGAATTACAGGCTTTTCTCAGGGCTGAGGTCACGCACGGCGCCCAGGATTGGTTTATCCACCGCCGAGACACGAAAATCAGCCGCGCGCCAGGAGAACGGATTCTCTTCCCAGTAAAGGCAGAGTCAGGGAGGGGACAGCTCCCAGAACACGTTCCCTGTAGCCACTCCACGATTGGCAGCCGCCAGCCACGAGAGCTCTGTGTGGGGAGGCACCGACGGCTCCTCCGAAGCTTCTCTTCTCTTTGCCGTTCGGTCCCAAATCCTTCCCTTAAAAAAAACTCCTCCACTCCGGTCAACGCCCGATTTGGCCTCTCCTCCAGACCCCAGCCTGGCTTTTTGTCCAGCCTTGGGCCACCTCTGGAGCATTTGGAACCAATTGAGGAGCTGCCACCCAGTGCCCTGTGCCTGGGGCTGAGCAGCCAAAAGCTCTCCCCCGCACTTGTTCGGCATCGCCCCCCTTTTAACCTGCACGGGGCCTTGCTCATCCCACAAACCCTGGCTGGGCAGCATTCCCGAGGGATGGAATGGCTCTCCTGGAAGGAGCAAGGGCTACTAGAATTCTGCAGCTGACAGTGGATGGTGCAGGTGCAGAATTGCATACGTCTGCATGTAGTCACTGCCGCAGAATTCTCTTACCCTTGCTGCAGAAACCAGCCCTGGAGTGCCCCAGAATTCCAAGGGCCTGGCTATGGGCCAGTGTAGCTTGGGACCCAAGTAGTGAAGATTATCTGAAGGATAATTTTCTAGTCAACCAAATGTAAGTACAGTGATTTTATACCGATATTTTGTGGCTTGTGCTGTCTGTGGTCTCGGTGGAGGGTGGAGCTGAGCATTTTTGGGGTGACTTGAACTGGAAGAATCCGCTGCCCAGCCAAGGGGAACCCGAGCAAACCCCCTCTGATCCATCCCTGTCCTCTTCCCTCTTGCAGCATCACCAACCTGAAGTACTGGGGTCGGTGTGAGCCCATCACCTCCAAGACGCTGCAGCTGCTCAACGACCTCTCCATTGGATATCCTTTTGGGAAGAGCTGCTGGGGGCACAGGGATACGAGGGAAGAGCGGCCCAGGAGCGAGTCACAGATCCCCGAACCCCTTCACCTTCTGGGCAGTGAGAAAAGCAGGGAGTGTTTGCTCCACACCCGGAATGTAGATTTTTTTTTTTTTTTTTTTTAAACTTTGGATCGTGATTGCTTCGGAGCTGACCACCCACAGCCAGTTTACAGTCTGCCTTCTGCTCTTCCAGAAGCTCCAGACAGATATTTCCTGACAGAGCAAATAAATCTTGTCGCTGCAGGTCTCTCCACTGAGACCTCGGTCGCTCTTGAGACAAGTGGAGGAGAATCCACAATGCCCTGAATAACACAGCCACAACCCCCCTTCCAGCTTTGCCCTGGAAGTGCTTTTGCAAGGATTCCCTGCTGCTTCCTTAACCCCCCTGCACGTACAGCAGTGTGAGGAAGCTGGTGAAGCTGAGCGCTGTGCAGTTCATGCTGAACAATCACACGGTGAGTCCTCCCCTCTTCCCTCTCCCACCTGCCTCTGTGCAGCCCAGACAGTCCCCAGGGGGAACAGTTCAGCACCTGGACACACCCTGGGGGTTTTCCTGGCTCCCAGATGCCTCCCTGGTACCGCATGAGCCTCTGGGAAGTGTGATTTGTGTTCCACCTCTGTTGGGTTCCGAGGGGTTGTGATTTTGGGGCACTTGATGGGGGAGGTCTCTGCCCTCCACTAAGGCCAGACCCATCCCTGGAAGTGTCCAAGGCCAGCTTGGAGCAGCCTGGGATAGTGGGAGGTGTCCCTGCCCATGGCAGGGGGTGGAACAGGATGATCCTTACTGTCCCACCAACACAAGTCATTCCATGATTCTATCCCATGTTTCTGTGGTGCTCCAATGCTGGAGCAACTGGATACCCAGCACCACTTCCAGAGGCTTTTCAGTGCCTGGTGGAATGAGGGGTTGCATTCCCTTGTGTTAGGGGGTGTTTTTCAAGCATTCCCACGTGCTGCCTTCAGCCCAGAAGCTGAATTCAGTCTGGAATTGGCGTTTCCATGGAGAATGTGGGCAGAGGAACTGGGGAATCTGCTCTCAGAGAGCTGGTTTAAAGCAGCCTGAAGGGTCCCAATCAGTAAAAGGGGGGGATTCCACCTCTGCTCCAGAGGCAAAGCCAGACTTCCTGGTTCACCTGGGGCTAGAGAATCGCAGGGTGAGGGATGGCAGCGCTGGGATTTGCTGTTCCAAGCAGTGCCTGTTGCCCTCTGGTGGCCTGTGCTCCGGGATGGCTCCAGGTAACCCTGGATCCCGCTGCTTCCCATCCAGTGCACGGCCTGGGATCAGCTGGGAGCTGGGATCCTCAGCCCCTGTTCAAGGTGGTGGTTCCATGAATTGTTAAGGTTGGAAAAGCCCTTTAAGACCGAGTTTGATGATCAACCAGCACCACCACCACTGTCACCACTAAGCCACGTCCCCAAGTGCCACATCCACGTGTTTTTTGAGCCCTTCCAGGGATGGCGACTCCACCACAGCCTGTTCCAATCATTTACAGGCCTTTCCACGCGGAATTTTTTTCCTGATACCCAACCCAAACCTCCCCTGGTGCCACTGGAGGCCTTTTCCCCTTTAACCCACCTTTGTTTTCCCTCTCCAGAGTGAGCACTTTTCCTTCCTGGGCATTAACAATCAGTCCAACCTGACGGACATGAGGTGTCGGACGACGTTCTACACTGCACTGGGGCGTCTGCTCATGGTGGATTTAGGTACTGGGGGCTTTTCCTGGGAATCAGAGCAAAACCCTGGGCTTCAGAAGCTGGGCCCTGCTTCTTTAGGGAGCTGTAAGCCCCTCCAGGAAAGGAGGCTGGAGTTGGAAAACCCCCACGAAGGAAAAAGGAAGGGAAAGAAGCTCTGGAGCGGGTTTGATGCCCCGCCACTGGGTACAGGCCACCAAAGCTGGGGCTGGATTTTTCCACACGTTTTCCTGACGTGGCACAGTTTGTTCTAAGTCAGATTTTGGCGGTGGCAGATCACCTGGCTGGAGACCTCTGGTCTTCCCTTGGCTCTGTGGGAGAGTCTGGCGCGGGCAGAGCTGCAGGATGGATGGGGATGGATGGACGTGCCATTTCTTTTCTCCTGATTTCCTGGGGCTTTTTTATCCCTCTCAGGGGAAGATGAGGATCAGTACGAGCAGTTCATGCTTCCCCTCACTGCTGCCTTTGAGACTGTGGCCCAGATGTTCAGCACAAACACTTTCAATGAGCAAGAGGCAAAAGTAAGTCGGGACATTCCCTGTTCTCCCTGTTCTCCCTGCTCTTTTCCTTAGGGGCCTGGATGTTTTCAGAGGGGCAGGAGGGAGCAGTCATTTGTGCAGGGTGGGAGCTGTTCTCCCCTCTGAAATACAAGCTGGAATGGTGGGAGCTTCCCTTCCAGGGGGAAGGGGAAGGGGGGATGGCCTGTATCCCTCAGGATCAGGTGTGGTTTGGAGCTGGAGCAGGGATGTATTTCATTTTAACATCTTTCCTTTCTCGACACAGAGAACCTTGGTGGGTTTGGTGAGAGATTTGAGGGGAATTGCCTTTGCCTTCAATGCCAAGACCAGCTTCATGATGCTGTTTGAGTGGATGTATCCTTCTGTTCCCCTGAAAGTGCAGCCCCCCTGTCCCTCTGAGGATGCCTGGCTGCGTCCCAATGTCCTCTTCTCCCCGTGAAATCCTGTCTGGGGTTTCTCTTCCCTTTTAAAAGCACTTGGTGTCCTTTCTCTGAGCCCTGAGATAGATTTGATTTGGCCTCTCTGCAACCAAGTGAACCTAAAAAGCTGCTCTGAGCTGAACTGGGGGGGGATTTCCCAGCGGGGCCTGAAGGGCTGTGACCTATAAAGCACAAAGGCTCTCGTGGGCTGCATCCCAGCAGCACCAAAAGCATTTCCTCTTGTCCCTGGAGCCTGCAGCAGTGGGATCCGTGTCCTTTGGGTGAGGAATCCGTGTCCTTTCGCTGCCCAAAGGACACGGTGTCGGGCTCCAGATTTGCTGTGCCTGGTGAAGGTCAGGAGTCTGCACTGACACATCTTTTTGTGTGTGTGGCTTCCCCTTTCCTCCCAGAACCTTTTTTGGTTCTGGTTTGTCTCGGAAAAAATTGTGTGTGCAGTCAGTTCCTTCGGTGGGCTGATTTTTATTACCGTGATCATCGTTTTCATGTGGTAACTTATATTAAGTTACGTGATTTAAGATATAAATATAAACAAATATGCAATTATATCAATAATAGAAATAACACATGACTATATAAATTATATTTTAAATAATAATATATGATGATGATGATGATGATAATAATAACAACAAATCAGACCCCAGCAAGCAGCATCTCTGCTTAACCCTATTAACTAAGCTGCTCTGCAGGGCTTGGGTGCAGCACACAAAACGTGCCTTTTGGTGGAAATTTTGCCCTCTGTAAAGCCCCCAGAGATCCTTAGCTTTCCCCTGGCAGTTACCCCTCCTACATGCCAATCCTGCAGAGAGCCATCGAGCTCTGGTACCACGACCCAGCCTGTACCACCCCCGTCCTCAAACTCATGGCTGAGCTGGTCCATAACAGGTAGGAGCTGGGATTTCATGGGATGGTTGGGGTTGGAAGGGATTTTGAGGCTCGTCCCGTTCCCTTTGTGTGTGTCTGTTGCTCCCTGTGGGTGTTGCTGCCCTCTCTTGTTTTTCTCCCTTTCGATCTATTTATGCTCCAAAAGCTGCCAGGGAGGACCAGCGGGGGGGGAAACTGGGATCGTTCCAGCAGGGCATAAAATCCCACAGATCAGATACCAGGGCTCCATCAGGCTGAGACACGATCAATAACTGCTGGATATTTCCATTTCCAAGGGCAGCACTCGGAGGTGGGGGCAGGAAACGTGGTCCTTTTTAAAACCCGGCTTTCAGATGGGCCTCGTTCTCTCTGGC